GGGTGTTGGGATAATGAGCCAGATAATCGTCCATCAATGAATCAAGTAGTTGATAAATTAAATGCACTTGTATCGAAAACAAACATAACAGAAGACTATCAAATGAATAATTACAAATCAAATAACTTTGAAGCTATTTCTAACGTAAATAATTCATTAGAAGAAACTTCTCAAATTATTCGATTTGATCAGATGAATTATCAAAAGGAAGTAGAATTAGATGATATTATTTATGATGATATAACCAAAAGTTTAAAGATTACAGAATCTAATAAGGATGACATATTAAACGCCTTAGGAGGGTTACAAAGATATCGAAAATTAACAGAACTTGACTGCTCTGGTACTCCGATAACTATCCTACCAACATTACCCAACTCCTTAACGGAACTTATTTGCTCTTATACTAGAATAACTATCCTACCAACCTTACCCAACTCCTTAACTTATCTTAATTGCTCTTATACTAAAATAACTATCCTACCAACATTACCCAACTCCTTAATGCGACTTGTTTGCTATAATATTACAATAACTATCTTACCAACCTTACCCAACTTCTTAACGGAACTTGATTGCTCTTATACTCCGATAACTATCCTACCAACCTTACCCAACTCCTTAATGAAACTCAATTGCTATAAATCTCATTTAAATAGATTACCAACATTACCCAACTCCTTAACAGAACTTGACTGCCCTTTTACTTATATAACTATCCTACCAACCTTACCCAACTCCTTGACAAAACTTGATTGCAATTATACTCCAATAACTATCCTACCAACATTACCCAACTCCTTAACGGAACTTAATTGCTCTTCTACTAAAATAACTATCTTACCAACCTTACCTAACTCTTTAATGAAACTCAATTGCTATAAATCTCATTTAAATAGCTTATCAACATTACCCAACTCCCTAATAGTACTTGACTGCCCTTTTACTCATATAACTACCCTACCAACTTTACCCAACTCCTTGACAGAACTTGATTGCCATAATACTCCAATAACCATCCTACCAACGTTACCAAACTCCTTAATAAAACTTTATTGCAATGATACTAAAATAACTGTCCTACCAACCTTACCCAGCTCCTTAACAAAACTTGATTGCTATAATACTCTAATAACTATCCTACCAACATTACCCAACTCCTTAACAGAACTTAAATGTAATAATACTCAAATAACTATCCTACCAACATTACCCAACTTAGCTTATCTTTATTGCTATAATACTCCGATAACTATCCTGCCATCATTACCAAACTCCTTAACTTATCTTGATTGCTCTTATACTCAAATAACTATCCTACCAACATTACCCAACTCCTTAATGAAACTCTTGTGTCATAATACTCAAATAACTATCCTACCAACATTACCCAACTCCTTAAATTATCTTAACTGTAACTATACTCGAATAACTAGCTTACCAAATGAGCCCGATTCCTTAAGGGATATATTTCCTAAATCTTTAAATACTTTTCAAAAATCTCATCAATCCTGTACTATTTTCTAAATGTTTAACCTTCTATAATTAAGTATGCGTTGAAGTCGTGATCCATGCTACGCCGATCTAAAACAACTAATCATGTAATCTGATTTAGTTAACAAATCTGACGAATAATATTTGTTAGATTTATGATTATATTTATTATATTTATTACATTTATTATATTTATCATAGTACATATTTTATTTTTATTTGATTATTTTATATAAATAATTAATAATCTGTAACTTTCCTTGGAAAAGGACATAGTCGTTACCAATCTTTAATAAAACAATAATTTTTATAAATAAAGATGACTTGACTCTTCAATATAATTAATTCGTGCCTATTTTAGACGTAATTAAACTCACTTAGCATGGAACAATTTAAGCTTAACAACGTACAATTATAAAATTCCAATTAGTAAACCTTGCAATATAATATTTAGACAAAAATCTTTTTTTTACTCTTACGAACTTTAGTCGTTTCTTATAATTGGCAATATGAATATTAAACCCTACGATGGCATAAGTTCAAAAGTATCAAAGGTAAGATTATTATTTTCATTTATATTTTTTTGAATTATCCTTGTGTGTAAAGTTATTTTATAATTATAATAAATTAAATTAAAGAGCTTGAAGGATATTGTTATTAATTAATGAAAATAAATAATAAACATCTACAAGAAAATTAATTAACTCAGAAAATAATTTAACGAACACTCTAATTGATATAGTTCTCTTTTCAAACATGAATTTATCACATAATCCATGAAAAGTTTATCAAAGTGAGCTTATATCTCTTTAAATCTAAAAAAGCTATCTTTTACAACAATAAAAAAAAAGCATTCCATGGACAATATAGAATTTTAGTCAATTAATTATTACTATATTAGCACACTTGAACTTTCTAAATAATTTCTATATAATACTTTTATTAGTACTGATTAAATACGTTTATTAAAATACTATTTTAAATTGTAAATTTACTTTAATAATTTAATTAAAAAATAATTAAGTAATTTATTAATAATCGGGCGAAACTAATTTAGGAGAAACATTTGAAAATTGACTGAAAATTACTTGAGATCCAATTATATTTCACGGGACCTAAATTTAAAATATTACAATTCGTTGAATCGTAAAATAAAAATGTGAAGCAAGAAAATTCCTTATGTTCTTAAAAGTTGTAAATCAAAGCATGATCGTTTGATAATATTATATCCCGGGATAACTTATAATAATAAGAGCATCTTCGATATATTGCTATACTATAATTATTTTTAATATGGAAAAACGTTTCTAAAAGAGCTGAATGTTGTATCGAGTAATTATAAATTTAAACGTCTATAATGTAATGCGTTTTTGTATTTGGTTTGTTGGCATTCTTAAAATAAAAAAATGTAATTAATCGTTAAAATATAATAGGAAAAAAACTAAGATCTTTCATTTTCATTACATGCATAACCTAAAACAGTCATGGAGATATTGATTAATTTGTTGATTTAATTTACTTTGAATGATTTCCTAATAATCAAAAATTTAAAACGTTTCCGATAAGAATATATTAAATTCAACAAATGACATCTTATCTCTTCAATTTATTGAGAAAAAAATAAAAGGTATTGGCAGAAAATAAACAATTGTTTATTTATCAGAAGAAATTAAAAATTCGATAATTTAATCATTTATACATTAAACAATCAGAAAATATTATTATTTATTTATTTTTTTTATGAGGATAAATAATGAATTTTTTGATCACTAAACATAATGAAATTAGTAGCATTATGCATTTTAATAATTGTTAAAATTCCTTATAAAACGTCTATTCAAACACGATTCATTTCGATACACACATTCCAAAGACAGAGATTTATAAATTTAACTAATGATGCGAATTCTATAAATCAAAGTATAATTCCTGTTTACAATAATCACACATTTTTTCGGATATCAAGAATCAATAGCCATCAATCAACTTGAACGAGACTTTTATATTAGAAGTAACTTTTGCAATAACAGCTGTTACGATTCTATACCTTTTCTTTAGAATTCATTTTCAAAAATTGTAATTTTTTTATTACAAATAGATTATAATTTTTATAGAAACCTTTCATTTTTAAGTAGAACTCCCTTTTATGTTCAATAAGATTATTATACTTATATAAACAAATATGCAATAACCAAATGCCCATTATTATATCATGTGATCACCACCATATCGAATCTTTAATACGAACCAAACACAAACACAGATTAAATCATTATGGCATGATAAATTATAAACTAAGAATTGGAAAATAATTATGCATGACGCAGTGACTTATTATTTTTTCGTAATAATATTTTTTACAATTTGTTGTATAAAAAATGAATTAAAAAATTAACGGAGTAAATTCGTAATCATAACGTCAAAACTAAGGTCATAAACTTAACATTTTAATAATTTAAACATTATGATAATAGAAGAGTGCGCGTTTATTTCAGACCGTAATCATATAATAATATTAAATAGTTTAGAAGTTGTTTATCGATAAACTCGTCTTAAATTTTCAAAATAATTACGAAGATATGAAAATTATAGCTTTAAAAAAGTATTTGTAAATAAATATAATAAAGGTTTACTAGAATCAATTTTTCAAATTTATTATTTAAAAGTTATATCCCATGAAATCTTAAATACAATAATTACTTAGGAATAAATGTATTAATATTCTTTGCACTCGCCTATTTTGTATTAAAATCTAGTTAGGAATAAAATAATCATAAATAAATTAAAATATTATAAAATACAAATACCATTTGAAATATCTGACATATTGATTTTTGTAAAATCAATGATTAAAGACTCTATATTACAATTTAAAATTAATTATAGATTATATTATAAATTTACATTTTTTTTTTTCACTTGAAAAGAAATAAACCTACCAGAATATTTCGAGAAATTCACATAGTCAACATTTTTTGGATCTGACAAACTTTTAAAATCTAAAAGCCTACTTGTAAAAATTGCTTGAGAATGTGATTTATATGATAGAGAACCGACAGATGACG